GACACGTTATCTCCGGTTGTGTCTCTCGTCTAAAGGTGTTGTGGTCTCTTTTCCACTTATAGGCATTTTATGTGCTTGCGGGTAATTTTCCATGTAGTGGCAACCCCGCCAAGAGTTGTCAAGATGGCAGACTCTCATTGGAAGTTTTAGCGTTGCCGTACGCCCTGGACAATATTAGATGGTACATTTTTCTGACAGATTACCGGGTGTACTACATGCCGAAGAATAAAATAGTTAGATTTTTGGTGCGGCGAACAGTAACCCATAACAAACCTGCTTCACTTCGCGACACGTCACAGAAGCGAACAGGAAAAGGGGTTAACTGTCTTCGGCAAGGCGTCCTGCAAGAGAATTAGGTGGTATAACCAGAAGAACGTGGGGCACGACTCACCCCTGAGATATAGAGTCTCAAAAGAATATTAAGTCTTTAGCCGGGCAAAATAATACGCCGTAGTTACGTCAGGTGGCAGTTAGGGTTCGTCCGACTCAGTATTGGTAGTCTAAAAGTTAAGCTTGATGTTACGAAAATAACGAAGTCAACGCATTTACTGTATTCCTCGTCAGTATTCGCTTGTAATGCTGGGTGGACTCGTTATTGTGTGGTCGGTTTCTGGAACAATTCGTCTACGGATTTAGTCAGTACTGAGTCGGCTCCTAACATTCTTGCATTTGTAGAACAATGAATTTTATGATTTAAAAGGTTCAGTCAGGGTTTTCAGAACGTCAGGGTGGTTTTCGTAATTCTGGTAGAAAAAAAAAATAAAATAAAAGTTAGGTCAGAGTTTGCCTAGCATACTCGACTCGGAACTCAATCCCGGTTGTGACTAAGTATGGGTTGAATTAGCGTTCTTTTCGAAATGGTCAAGTCAGAATAATACCGAGTAAACCCTTTGAAAAAAAAATTCAAGTCTGGTGTTGCGGTGGTTCTCTATTGTTTTAGGCCAGAGAAGCCTACCCCCCAAAGTGCCGAACTTAGTCGGTCTTTACACCCTGCACCCCACTAGTTCAACACCGCTAAGAAGAACACAGGGCTGGCTGTCCTGAAAAGGACACTTGGCCGCGAGTTTATAGCCGTTCGGCGGCTGGGAAAAACGTGTATATATTTATTCTGTTTCCTATTCATTATGGCTTTGCGGCCCAAGAGACATTTTCTTAATGGAGAACTCGTCAAAACTCCGAAAGGCATTAGACATTTTGATAAGGAGAACTCGTCAAAACTCCTAAAAGACCATCCTAATGGGAGTGCGGATTGTCAGGCAGTTCACGACTCCCGGTGGGAGCGCGCGTGAACGTCCTATGAATATATGTGCTCGGGGAGGATACTGGGCGGTTTGTCCCCGACCGCCAAAGCGCCCAGTGAAAAGGACAGTAAGAGAAAAAAAATATACTCTATTCACATTCGTTGGCTAGAGTTAGCCACCCCCCAATTGCCGAACTTAGTCGGTCTTCACAGTACAGCCCCTCCGCTAGTCCAGTAGCTTGTTTCTGTCCCGATTCTCTACCTGGGCGAATTCATATATGACGCCTTGTCCTATGTCTAATGAGTAGTAGAGAATGACGTATATTCTCTACCCGCAGAGAAATGATCGGTAGGGAAGAGTTACAGAAGCGAGTTACAGCCCTACATGACTTAGCTTCGAAGAAAAGCCATGCAAAGTTGGACCCCGGGCAGTCTGCGGGCGGTCAAGGTTTTACCCAATCGCTAAGTTTAATATTTGAAAAAAAAGGGGAAAAAAAATAAAAATGAAAGGAAAACGTGATTATTAATATTGAAAAAAAACTACTTTACTTTCGGATCGCTCTTCGTGACGGATGACATTGTCACGGCCGGATGTCAGATGCATGGAACCTACCGATTGGTTTGCCATTCAAGTCCTCTAAATCGTACAAAGCATTGCCTATCTTTCGCAGAACACGACACTTGATATATTTAGGCAAGAATTTAACATTTACGCCTTGCTTAAAATTGCTAAGAGCGAAGTTTTTCCGGAATACTTCTTGTCCTTCCCGGTAATTCACAACTCGCGTACGTTTGTTGTACGTGTTAGCTGCTCTGTCTTGCGCTAACTCAAGGTTCTTTCGTATATGTTCGCGAATGTTTGCTAGCTTGTCAGCTTGTCTTGTAATCGGGACTTCGTCTTGTCTTAGGCTACCCAGTTTCTCCAGTATGGTATAGGCTGACGCATGTTGTATCATATTTTGTCCAAATAATGGCGAGCTCTGAATCGACGTATGGTAATCGCTTCTTAAAACCGACAGAATTTCGGGAATATGTTTCTCCCAGTGCATGTGATCTTGTTTGTCCTTCAGGAATGTTATAACTTTCGAAACAGTCTCTCTGTTCACTCGTTCAGAGGCGTTAGCCTGCGGTGAGTATAACCCCGTCTTAATATGAACAACCCCATAGTTTTCAAAAAACTGCTGCATCTCCTTCGAAATGAATTGCTTCCCGTTATCACTATGGACGAATTGAGGGACCCCGAATGCTGGAAAAATCTCTGTACTAAAGAAGCTAATTACATTTGCCGACGTCGCGTTTTGCATCGCCTTCAAAAAAACGTATTTGGAAAAATGGTCTAGCACTATGAACAAAAACTGGTTTCTTCGCGTTGATCCTGGATATGGACCTAAGAAATCGCAAAAAAGACGCTGGAATGGCCTCTCAGATACGAAGACATTGCCCATAGGTGGTCTGGACACTTGATTGGTGGCTTTCACGGCTTTGCAGGTTTCGCAACGGTTTACATAGAGGCGTATGTCCTTTGCCATTTGCGGCCAAAAATATTTCTGCCGAACACGCTCTAAAGTCTTTTGCCAACCTCCATGGTAACTAGCATTGGAATCATGTGAGCATTTGATTGCGAGCTCCGTCAGCCCTTCCGGTAACCACAAACGTCAGAGCAAATCCTCCTCCTCTTCCACACCTCTTCGAAACATCACTCTTTTGTAAACTCTATTGTCGACTATGCGTGGATCGGGCAGCCCTTCGTGATTGTTTTCAATTGTTTTACGAAGCTCCGAGTACTTTACGCCGTCGAATTCCGGTGATGCCAAGTCAATTTCTAGAGGCGGGGTAGAAGAGAGTTCGTCCACGTCAAAACGCGAAAGGGTGTCCGGCACAACATTTAAAGAACCTTTGCGATGCTCCATGCTAAAGTTGTATCGTTGCAATAGAAGCGACCATCTTGCCAGCCTGCCGCTCAAGTCTGTTTGTGTCATTAGCCACTTGAGACTTCAATGGTCAGTAATTATTCGAAAAGGCAATCCTTCAATATATGGTCTGAAACGCTTGACGCTTGCGGCGAGGCATTCCAGCTCGGTGACCGTATAATTCCGCTGAGCATTATTAAGCTTCTTCGATACGAAAGCTATGGGATGCTCTGCCCATTCCTCATCGAGCTGGAATAACACGCCTCCTACCCCTATTTTGGATGCATCACATTGGATCACGAATTCTTTACTAAAATCGGGTTGTGCCAGGACAGGCGCTGAACAGAGTGCTACTTTAAGTTTACCAAATGCTTCAACTGGCTCAGGAGTTAATTTAAATGGACCAGGTAACTTCCGAAGGCAATCTGTCATTGGACCCGCCAAATCTGCGAAATTGGTAATAAACGACCTGTACCAATTTGCCATTCCTATAAACCTGCGAACCTGACGAGGAGACTTGGGAATCGGAAAATCCTTTATGGCTTCTATTTTGCCCGGGTCTACTTTCAAACAACCATTCCCTATCAAGTACCCGAGATACCGAATTTCCTGCTTGCAGAACTTGCTCTTCTTCACGTTGATTGTAAGTCCCGCTTCCCGTAAGCATTTCGCCACTTCCTTCAGCAATTCCAAATGATCTTCGAAGTTTGAGCTGCACACCATCAGGTCATCCAGGTAGACAAAGACGTTCTCTCGTAACCGTGAAGGAATAGCCTTATCCATCAGCCGACTCATTGTTTGTGGTCCCTTGCACAGGCCAAAGGGCATTACTTTAAAGTGGTACAATGGCTTTCCTGGAACCGCAAATGCCGTCTTTTCCTTAGACGATTCCGCTAATTTGATTTGGAAGA